TTCCCTTCACCTGGAATTGCAGCAAGAAAAGATCAAGGCAACGGGAACCCAAAATCCTTTTAACTCCTTCTCTGCCAACAAGCTAGAAGGTGGTGAAAAGAACACCTGAATATGAAAAGGAACCTGCTTATCCCTGCCTGAAAGCAAAACAACAACTCAGGTAAATAAATCAGGTGCAAGGCAGTTAAGCTTGCAATGAATTACAGGTCTTGTGAATTGCAGCCATTGTTTTTATCAGTACAACATTCTATTAGCATTGCTTTCCACACCATTTTCACATTCTAGAAAATTACACTGCAAAAGATATTAAAAATACTCGCAATAGTCACAAACACAGGAACAGATTTAAGAAGCTAAGGAGTCACCTTCTGTTCTCCTGGAAGTAAGCAACAGATTTAGTCCCATTTGAAATGTCACTTGTGTATACCTCAGGTGCACAGTTTGACTGCAGCTATTCCACATACCCCACCTGTACTTGCAGAGTTCACCATACTTTCAGCGACTTGAACTCATCTAAACATTCTACAGGACACAATTCCTGACTATGGACTTCATTTTCAGAAGATGAAGCCTTCAGGCTTTTAGCAAGTTTGACCCTCTCAAGTTGACAGGAAACCTGCAAATTAACTCTATGAACTAAAGGTAGTACACAGAGCATGAAACAAGCTTACTTTGCCAGTTCTTTCTGAATGCAAAAGACTATTTTGTTCATTACAAGCAATTTCTTCACATGTAAAAGACTACTCTGTTAAGAGGTGTTGCCTCAGCTGTGGAAAACTCACTAATTTATTGACATTCTGCTTTGGAAAACCACTAAAATGCCCAATATACACATATATATAGGTGCTCATGAGCATAATTAGCATTCAGAAAACTGCATTTCAAAATCCATTTTTTTAGATTAAAACAGCTGAAGAAGTTAGAGTAGACGGGGGGGGAAAAGAAACAGATTTTCCAAACCATTTCAATTTCCTGTAACCAGCTTGTTTCCTAATGATAAGGCTCTTTTAAGCAGGATTACTACAGCTTCATTTTGCATCTTCATGTACTGTTTATGGTATCCAGAAATACTCCTTAATAGATTGATTAAATCATCCATGACACTCAAATCATGCTTTCCTTGTAAGTCCAAAAAACGTTTTCAAACACTATAGAGACCTAAAAGTTTCACTGTCATCATTCCAAACCATTTCCTGTCATGACCATGGATACACATCCAAGGGTCACACAAGAACAACAGACCAGGGTTTTGATAAACAGTTCACATGATTTCTGAAACTTGCAGATGTGCCACTAGGGAGTTTGAAGCAACCACTGGCAAATATCTCCTCTGGATAACTGAATTATTAGGAGTCTAATCATTAGGAGACACAGATGCTTTGGCCAACAATGATCTAAAATGGTTATTTTGGTCTCCCAACAGAAATAACAGAGAAACACAGTACATTTTAAAAGGTTTGCAGTGAACCTCTTGTGGCTAAAACAACTGAGTAAATGATGCTGATGATTTTGCAGAATAGTATAAATCTCTAAACACAAAAAATTAATATACATCTTCCCACAAGAGCACAGTCAGAAGGGCAAGCTCTGGAATTCCCAGTGAACGCAGCTGTCTTGCATTCTCACAAAGAGTCTAAATCAAGAAGAGCAGTCATGAGGTGTGTACTGAATCTAAGTAAATTGCAGTCTGTCCTTGAGTACAACTCTTAAACCATGGAATCTCCACAAAAAAAATCACAGGTGAATGCACTGTGCCAGCACATCCCCAGATATTTTCCCATCTGCCCATTATTTTAAAAAGCTACTGAGAATAGATTTTTTCTTTTGTTTTGCTTTGGTTTTTTTCAGTTTTACTCAGACAACTGCACTTTAGATTAGTAGAAACACTATTTTCCACCTGTTCATGCAGGTTTGTAAAACATTCTTCTTCTTGCAAATATCAATTAAGCTCAGATTTATCATTTGTTCTTTTAAAGAATGTACAAATCTCACAACAACACTTCAAAAGACACTTCAGTGGCACAGCTGAATGAGAAAAGAGTAAAGCTTGAGACCTTTTATTTTAAATTAAAAAAAAGTTCACAAACAAGGACTCCTCAAATTCTATATTAGCATTTTTTAGGGTAGCTATAAAACAAGTTTCAAAGCATTAAAAATACATTGAAATGTTACTCACAATTAAGGGATCTCGGCCCATTGTAATAACAGTTCTGTTCACTGTGCGTAATAACTGCACCATTATATCTTGAATATGGTGATAAGTTGAAGCCTGTAAATGGAAAAACAGAGGTTTGGTATTGAAGACATATCTCTTGTACGGGTAAGAAGAAACCAACTATTTCCATGGTGGCAGTTAAGTTGTGTGATATAACAGCCCTATTGAAAGAACAGCACTAATGCTTCTCACTCACACTGCTCCTTAGTTCCAGCAATTGCAGTGGAATACTCACTTCAAGTGTCACAGTCCAATTTCAGCCCTGTCTACTCCACAACCAGTTTTTGTTTCAAACAGTCACTTCCCATCTCTCTCAAGGGACTTGTGTTCTCCCAGTAGCTGAGTAGTCTATAACTTAACAGCATCACCCCAATAACAGATAGTTGAGGCAAATTGTATCAGAGTTCTCCACATCTGTCAATGCCCTCAGGGTAGTCTGGAGCTCTAATATTTTTAACTTGCAGTCACAAAGTACATAGTTGCTAAAGGAGAAAGTTTACTTCATTTAACCATAGAGCCCTGTGAGGGCACAAACTGAAGCTCTTTGGCCTCACTAAGTGCTGCTCTTGTTGCCTCAACAAGGGCATTTGGTTATTTATTTTAAAACACTGAGCAAATGGGAATAGCCTTATATTCACCAATTTCACTGACCATACTCTGGTGACTAGACGACTTTGGTAATCAGCATGCAACAGAGAAAGAAAAAGTCTAAACAAATTTCTGATAGAAAAAGCCATTTAGCTCATGCCGACAAGGCACCCTTTAATGTGAGATACACTACAGAAAGAACATCACAATCACAAAAAACATGGTGAGTTCTCAACAATCTTTTAGGGGGCTGAGCTCCAATACCACTCCAGAAGAAACTGCTGCTGACTCTGTTAGTCCTCAGACATCCAACATTTTCTCCTTCTTTTGTCTTATTTTGAAGAACCCGGATCAGGCCACCACACCTTGCAACAGGAACCTTCCTCATATCTAGCCATTTATTTCTTACCATTTAGCCCTATTGTGTCCTTTGACTATGACACACACACAAGCTTAAATCATCTTCTCACCTGTCACAGCATTTCAGAGGTTATTACACTCTATAAATGAACAATGTATTTATAGAATAATTTGTTTGTGGTTGGTGCTTTCTTTTCTAAAATTTAAATTTCTCTGGTAGTAGCATTTTACACAGAGAAGTCACTTCTTCCTTAGTTTCTCCTCTTTTTTGAAAATTCAGAGATGAGGACTTGTATAATCTAACTTCACTTCAACATTTCAGGAGGTGCTATACCATTATTAGTTACAGCTCAGAACATCACATACTGGGTTTAACACTTAGCCATGACTCCATTACTAAAGATGAGCTCTACTCTGAATTCATAAGTAGCACATAACACACCTCTACTGCAAAAAGTATTACATATGCTCAAGCATGCAAAGGTTATTTTCTGCTCGACCTTGGAATTTTCAGAGAAGCAAATGAATTAAAATTTTTTCTTTATGAAACTGAGACTCCCTCTCTTCTTGATAATCTAAGAAACAATTGGCATTCAATTCTGACATTGCTAAATTAATAAGAATGGTTTTCACACAGTCTATGCACAAGATTTTAGCTCTCATTTTATCTTGCAGTTTCTAGCTTCAGAAGACAGTCTAACAACCCACTGTGATATGCACTTTCTTTCTTCACAAGGATCACATGAGAGAACCTACCATTTGGCTTTGATCCGTTTGATTAAACATCACATTTTTTCAAAGCCTAAATTAACAACTTGCACAATATATAAATTCTCCTTTGGAAAACATGAATTGTATTATTCCATTTAATTAAACACGGTCATCACAAATGTGTGCTTGCCTTCCCTGTTGAAAAGGATCTTCTGGGTGACCAAGGTATGGAACAATCAGAGCTCACATGTGGTACACAGGTCAGCAGTAGGAAGTGTTCCCACAGAACTCAAACACCTTCAGATTCATTGTTGGGGTGGATGGCACACATTGGTACACAAATTGGTTCATAGAAAATCCAAATCAAACACAATTTCACTCTATGCAGGGTAAAAGCAGTTTGTGCTTGATTAGTTTTCATCTTCTAGTTAAACTCCTAACAGAGTTGGGACAAAAATAAAAGCAATTCCATGGTCTCAGAGTCAACCATGCACTTCAGATTCTGATAGAGTGCTAATTTATTTGGACAGTGACAAATGTAGAGTAGCTGAATGGCTCCCTTGGAAGTATAATATCACACAACCTGCACTTGAGACATCCACTAAGAGATACCTCTTTGGTCAATTTGTTTCAGCTGTCCCTGCTGTGTCCCCTCCCAGGCTCTTGCCCAGCTCTAGGCTATGCCATGTCATGGGGCAGAGTGAGAAACAGAGAAGGCCTTGACATGGTCCAAGCACTGTTCAGCAATAACTAAAACTTTCATTGCTGCATTATCAACACTGTTTTGGTCACAAATCTAAAACACAGCACCATGTGGGCTGCCTTGAGGGAACTCTATACCACCCAGATCCAGGGTCCTCACCCTCTGATGCATCCAGTTCTAGAACTGCATATTCTCCCTTTGACATACACTCAAACAAAGCTACATATAAAAGGATAAATATTTATTTTATTTGTCATGTAGTCCATAACTGTGCCTAGTTCTGACTGAAAAGTGTCTGCAGAAGACTTTAAGGTAACTGGCCCTAAAAGAACATGCGGGTTCCTTGGCTGCATTCCTTTGAAATTTACTTTTGCTGAAGTTTTAAGATCTTACATAAGTTAGGCAAATGCTTTATTAATTTCTGTACAATTCTAAAATGCTTCCAGGCTTGTTTGCTAAGGTTTGCTAAACAGCTTAAAATTGCAACTGCTGTCAGTTACTGACTTAGTACACAGACCAGGAAAAGATTCCTCATCTCTCTTCCACGTATAGTCTCAACCAAGATTTTATTTTAGATTCTGAGAGAAGGCATTTACCATTTCATTTAATTGTGTAAGCACTATAAATAAAGACTTGTTCTGATACAGTAAATATTAAACTATAGGATGTGTGTCAGATTAGAGATCAAGCCCCTGGCAGATCATATCAAAGTTGTTGTAAAGAGGGAAAAGGGAAGTGCTTTTAATTAAAACAGAAACAAATCACTGATTTCACCATGACCTTCATCAATGACTTACTTGAAGTTCTGAGCTTTAACTGTATTTCACAGGTGCTCAAAGCACAGTCTTCAGCTATGAAGCTAATTTTAGACATGATTCAGTCAAAACAAGGCCATCTATGTTCAACAGTTCTTTGCTGTAGAGGCAATTTAAAATAAAATAAACATCTCACCCAGATGCCCAGTTATGACTGCCTATTTATAAAAATCAAGTATTTAACAGAAACTAATGATTTTAACAACATACTTGCTACCTGCAGAGCCCAGCAGTCAGGCAGCAGCTGAAGAAACTGTGTTTGAACACAAGGATCTGATGATTCACATGTTCCCACTCGCCAAACAATGTTGGGCAAAACAGTAGTGCAGAGCTGGTAAAATCACAGTATCCTTTTCTTTGATCAAGAAAATGAATGCTTCAAAAGTTCTGTAACAACTTCTGAGATCACCTCACAGTATAGATTTTGACCCCATGAAACACAGAACTACTGCTGCTTCTTCCCTGTCTTTCATATATTTTCTATTTCTGGTGATTTTCACAGACTAAATCCAATGCAAAAATGTCAAAATTAAATTAACAAAAAGTTCTAAATACTGATAAAAAACCAGATGCCCCTACTGAGATGAAAAAAAAAAAAAAGAAATATGGATGAGATGTTTTCAAGACAGAGTTAGGCTTACAATTAATACTGTAACATGAGTTTGCCACTAATGCCTGAAGTGTTCTCCTCCTGCAGGTCAAATCATTATTTTTCTTCGAAAGAGGCTAAGAGGTACAGGAAATGCATTGTTGGAGAGCAAATTGCATCCATCTTAAGGTTCAAGTGTAATGCTATAACAAAGAATTTGGTTGATTACTAAAAGGATTCTCTTTAAGTAGATCACACCGAGTACAGGTGTTCTGAAGGACACTGCCTAAGCAACAGCCTGGCCATACACTGAAACTTTTCCATTTGCCCACAAGAGTACAGGTCACGAAGTACTTACCATTGCAAGTCAAAACTGTATTGGCCTTGAAACAACACTCTTCACTTTAGCTGGAATGTAAACATCTCTGTTGCACTCCAGAGAAATCTACACTGGCTCTTAAAGGCAAATGACTGTGTGATGCCTCAAATACTGCTGTATGAAAGAGTTCCTGTCCTTAGCTCTTTTCCCCTCCTTCAAGATAAGTCAGCTCAAAAGCAGATTTTTAGCCCTGAAGCAGGATCAGGGTTTAGCATAGCTAAAAAATTAGATCATAACCCTAGGATTTCTGTCAAGGAAAGAAAAAACTTCTAGTGATGGCCATGTATTTGCTGTTGTAGTTACAAAAACCAGTCTTACATTTAATGGCATATACCTTAATATATTCTAGAATCCATATTGTCTCTGATCAGCAATTATGTTGCCACAAAGCAGCCAGGGCTTGTACTTCTTGTAACAGAAGCATCTGGTTCTTTTGTTGGTGCCCCAAATATTCTACAGTTTTTCTTATACTGATGAATATGATGCCTGCAGAGGGCTAGGCACATCTACCACTGCTGATTGAAATCTGCTCCAAGGCACTCTTCTCCTTTTATCAGAAGTCCATCACTATTTACTGCAAACATCTCACAGGGAAACTCCAGTTTAACTTCTTTAAAACAAACCATTGAATAAATGCCTCTGCCTATGAACAAATGTCAATGTATTTGTTTGGGTTGGGGTTTTTTTAAATGCATTCTCAGCAATTCTTCTGCTGTTCTGCATATTGCAATGTTCTCACACACACAAACATGAGCTACAAACCCATATTTTCAGCAGGCCCTAATGAGTCTTTCACATCAGCTACTGTTACTATGGACAGCAACTGTTGAGTTTGGAAATAATTTCTGTGGTACACATGCGGAAAGTATTATTCCATCTTGCATTGTGACTGTGTTTTACCTGTTGAATACAGCAACAGAGCTGGTTATTTTACATTAGAGCCTTATGAGCTGATAAATTCAATTTTTGCCTTATCATGCTCTCAACATTTCTCTCAAGAATTCCACATCAAATTGTAATGTTCCAATACATCTTTAGTATCATCTTGTATCAGTCCCTCCTCAAGTGCTTACTTGTAAAACAATGAGGTGAATAGCTCATAACACACATGAAAAGATTGCCCTGTGCAACCACACAAGCCTCTTCAGTATCAAACTCAAAGATTTTTATGAAACCAAGGAATGTGCCATGATGATTGCATTTAGTAGGAAATGAACCAAGTATCCACAGTGAAAAACTACTAAAATGACAACTTGCCTTTATTCAAAGTCTGCAAAGTTTGACCATATGTATCAGAAAACTATAGTTCAGGAAAAGTGAGCACATATTCACAGGAGAAATTACAACTTTCCAAATACAATTAATGATGAGGTTTGCTCAGAATAAATTCCTCCAATGATTTGTGAATCTTCATTGAATAACTCACTGTCCATGAAAAAGTGAGATACTAGAAAGTCAATTCAATGTCCTTTCAAATGAGAAAAAAGCAACCACCCAGACAGTGTTCCAAAATTTCAGGAGTCTGAGAAAGGAACTACAGACTAGAAGTATTGTAAAGAGTGATTTGTTTTACCCAAATACTGCCAAATGCATAAACCAAACACTATGATATTTATGCAGTGAAAAACATTTATTTCAGAAATTACAAGGGGGGTTGTAAATAAAACATGATGAATTGTGAAATGTATTCTGAATAATTAGATTAATCAAAGAATCATTGAATAGTTTGGGTCCAAAGGGACCTTTGAAAGGCCATCTAGTCCAACCCCCTGCAATGAGCAGGGACATCTTCAGCTCAGTCAGGTTGCTCAGATTTCAGTACTTCACCTGTAATACCTCAACTGCCCTTTAATTTAAGTTTATGAAAAAATAGGAGAAAAGTTCAATTTGCCACTGACTTGTATTAAAAATTTAAAAGAGATTAGTAATCATCAATAATTTACCACCTAATCAACTCAGGCTTACTACAGACTTGGGCCATCTACATAATCATCAATACTTACAGGGTCTTGACAGCTCAGAACCTCCAGGATACTATTAAGTAATTCAACACAGTACTTCTTCTCTTGCACCTGGAGCTGCTGATCATCCTTCCTTTCCAGTAATTCCTTCAGCTCTTTTGTAATCACAGGAAGGAGAATATCCCTGCATTCTGAAAGAAAGCAAATTATCTTAAGAACAGATACAAATCAGATACTATTTGTGTATCAACCCTCCTCTAAACAGTGAAACGTGATGTGGTTTAACAGCTACAGTCCCTTCCAAGATGGAATTGTTGATTTTCCAATTGTGCCTCAGGAATACTCCTAAACTTGTGTGATATATTCTTAAGTCAACAGTATTTCTCACATATCAAAACCAGATCTTCGTGATAAAATTAATTTGTTTCAGTTAAATTCTGAAGGCTGTTTTGCTTATCTCAAACACTTGGGGACAAATTATTCTCTTAGAGACAAAGCACCTAGAAATAAGCTATGTTTAAGTAGTGACAGGATTCTAATGTAAGAAAATTAGCCCATTTATTAAGTTTTACTTCCTGAAAATAAGACACAAACAGCAACAGAACTGTTCTACGTGCATCATTTTGAAACTTAGCTTCTAAAGGCACATCAAAGAATGCAGACGAGGGAAAGACTGATGAAAGGCCTGCCAAGCCTACAAGAGAGAGGGCTATGCATACATTTATCCCTACCTAAATTTAAGGAAGCTGACACAAATAGCAAGTTACATTCCCAATCTCACATGTACATTGCCTTTTTAGGACAGAGGTGCTTATAGGAAATGTCAGGAAGACAAGACATACAAATTGGAAATAACTTCAATGAAGGCAAGGTCTATCTAAGAATAAAAAGTACAGGAGATTCTTGATCTGCTTTAATTGATACACTGAGTGATTTAAGTACCAACTTACTTGTGCAGTGCATTGTAATTAAAGACAACACAGCAAAGCAGTGTGAATAATGCTGAGTAGATGCTTCAAAGATTCATAATATTTATGAAAAAAAACCTGGGAAGAAAACGGAGCTAAATGTGGCCACAAAAGGTTCCACCTCAGAATCAAATTTGTTTAGAACTCCAGAAGCATTTTTAGTCACAGTCAGTGAGCTGAAGCTCTTTCGCATTTCCACTCAACTGATTTTTCAGTGCCAAAATTTCTTGTGTGTCTTTCGAAATACAATTATATCACCAATTGGATACTGTTTTATATCAGCACCACAGTTTCTGAAAAAATAATATGACAAAACTAGAAACTTTTAAATTACTGCAAATAAAAATGAAAATGTGGCTTTTTATTTTTCCTTTTAAGAATGACTTAGAGTACATACAGTGCAGTCCCTGATAAACAAGTGCAGCGTGAGACGTGGTGAAACTGTATCCAATGTGATTTAAAGCAAGCCAGGGGCTCAGAATCACCCCAAATTAGGGTGCTAGTACAGGAAGACAGGAGAGGAAGAAAGAAAGAAAGAAAGGAAAAGAATGCAAAGTAGATTATAAATGCCTGAATTTTGCAGCTCAAGCAGCAGAAGCTATCCATGCAGATTATTCTTATTTCAAGTAACAGCTCCAAGCCACACAGAGCCAGGAGCTTTTAATCACGTCTAAAGAGCAGCATAATTTCTTGCCTCTAAAGTATCTCTGCTCTTGGTAATCATTTCTATAACACTTATTGCAAGCTACAAGAGAAATCTTACTCAATGACTAAATTACAAACTCACTAGTAAAACAGCAGTTAAAGAACACATAACACGAGACCCGTTCAAAGAGCAGCATAAAAACGAATTTCACACAGCTTGCAAGTCCTTTATGTGACCAATTCTGCACACAGACACACTTCCTGCAGGCCAGAGACTACCCCTCTGATTCATTCACCAAACAGCTGTGCTTACCAGACACTTAGCAGAGCATACTAGCAGGACATACTAACACTCCAAAAATACTTGTGCAGAGATTTGTGTTCGTGGAGACAGAGAAAATCTCCCCTCCAAAAGTCATCAGTGCTGACAGGTTCGTGGTCACCAGCTGCAGACAAACACTTTTCTGAAACTGAGATGTGATTTGATAATTCACAAATTCTTTCTTGATTTGCTCACATGAACCCCTGATTAATTATAGATGCAACACATACAGTGCTATTTGCACCAAGAAACATAGTTAGCAATGTTAAAAGTTACCTGCAATGCCATAAAAGTTGACTGAAATGTAGTAGCACCTTTTTTACATAAAGGGTTTGTATATTCAGCCAACAAATAAGTACAAGTTGTGAATTAGATCATTACCTCCCTACTTTGGAAAAAGCTAGAAAATAAACTTTCATTCTGTTTTCACTGCAATCTGTGGAAACTGTCCTTCAACAGGCTAGAGATATTTGGGGAGAGAGTTCATAGTATGATCAGTACAGGACTCATTTATCAAGATTCTGACCACTTCAACAATATGTAACAATTTTTTCCCATTGGATATAGCCTTTATTGCTAACCAAGTTCCATTTCATGGTGCTTATGAGAAAGACCAAAATTGTATTAGTGTGTTGCTGAATGATGACACACATTTAACACATTTTCAAGTGGATCAGGTAAAATAAAACAAATGGACTCACAACCCAAGCAAGCAGTTCAGATTGGATATAAGGAAAAACCTCTTTGTCATGAGGACAATCAGACCAGAGCTAAGAGGTTGCACAGCCTCTATCCTTGGAGGTTTTCAAGACCCAACTGGAGCAACCTGCTCTGACCTCATGCTGAGTTGGAGGTTGGACTAGACACATCCTCAGGTTCCTTCCAACTTGAACTACTCTATGATCCTTTATTGCCAAAATTGCTACTCAATGGTAGCACAGCAGCAGCTATGGTGCACTGCAAATGACAAGGTGCTAATCCTCAAACGGAACACAGCAGCCAACTACTGATAATAACTAAGTGCCACAACATATCAAAAAATTTATAGGCAACTGCAAAATTTTCAGTCTCTGGAAAATGAATAGAGACTGTCAGAAAGTTAGGAACAAAGATACATCTCTACATATATGCCTGTATATATAAATAATGACATTTTTAGGGCTTGTCATTTTTTTAATCCATAGACTCAAACATCAAGGTTTTCTATATCAGAAAAGATGATATCAAACTCATTACTCTAAAGACAGATAGGAGAAACCTGTTTCTTGTCACTTTAATCCATAGCACTTGCACAATGTCTGTAGAGAGACATAAAAACTGTGTCACATATATTTAACCTGTATGAAAATACAGATTCAATACAATTTCTGATACCCACTCTTGCCCCATCCCTGTTTCCCTTTCATAGAATTTAGAATTTAGGGGATGGAATGGACCTTACAGATCATCTAGTCCCAACCCCTGCCCTGGGCAGGGATACCTCCTCACTAGATCAGGTTGCTCAAGGCATCATCCTGTCTGGCCTTGTACATCAGCGGGGTTGGGGCAGCCACCACGTCCCTGGGCAACCTGTGCCAGTGTCTCACCACCCTCACAGGAAAAAATTTTTTTCTCACATCCAACCTAGACTTTCCTTCCTTCAGTTTAAACCCAGTCCCATCCCATGTCCTTCTTATGTCGAAGACACCAGAACTGTGTGCAGTACTCCAGGTGGGTCTCACGAGAGCAGAGCAGAGGGGAAGAATCACCTCTTTTGACCTGTTGCCCATACTCCTCTGGATGCAGCCCAGGATTCAGTTGGCTTTCTGGGCTGTGCTCACACTGCAGCTCATGGTGAGCTTCTCATCCAGATTCTCTAACTGCATGCAGTTCTTATGTCGAAGACACCAGAACTGTGTGCAGTACTCCAGGTGGGTCTCACGAGAGCAGAGCAGAGGGGAAGAATCACCTCTTTTGACCTGTTGCCCATACTCCTCTGGATGCAGCCCAGGATTCAGTTGGCTTTCTGGGCTGTGCTCACACTGCAGCTCATGGTGAGCTTCTCATCCAGATTCTCTAACTGCATGCAGGATATGCCGAAGGAATGATTCATCACAAGCTAACCCCCATGTTTGCTAGAGCACTGTGGATCCAAGACACTAACCAAACGATGGGCAGTGCTGTACCTCTCTGTCTGCAGCTGTAGCTATGTCTACACATGGCAACAATGTCCCAAGTTCTCTGCTCTAAACCTGCTGTCTATAAAGTACACTTTTATAAGGATGAATAACTATTACTCTATCAATCTGCAATATACACAGCAACGGCTACAACTACTACAACACAAAGCTGAACATGTTTAGACACATTCAGCCTTTAACTAATCTGCAACAACATGAAGGAATACAGATTCCAAATCAATAGGATGCAAGAAATTCAGCTGGCAACTCTTTTCCTGTAACTAGCATTCTTAAAAACAGTGCCTTGAAAACTTAGCCACTTCAAAACATATCAGTAGGGAGTGCTATGCTAACAGGCCTGTTCATAACAGCAAAGTTCAAAGTCACATCAAACTATGTGACATCTCAGCCACTTTTCACCTCGCACAAAGAGGATGGAATGTTATTTGCACATACCATTTTCACATCTGCCAGGATAAACATACTTACTGCTCTCACTTCTCCAAAATAATATCCAGCTCAATTTTTAAGCTATTAAGATGTCCCTTTGAACTGTCTGACAGCTAGAAAATATAAAAATTGCCTTTGGGTAGCTTTAAAAGTTACAGGAAGCAACTGGATAATAAAAATCTATACCTAATGAGTTTTATTTCAAAAGCAAAGTAAGAGACTAGACTGAGCAAAGTCATTGATCAAGTTGAATCCTGTATTTTAGCTGAAGCACATTTTACATTTATACTCATACAGAAAATAAAAAGTTAGGTATTCAAACCAGGTATTATGGGTATATTAATCACTAAATTACATCTGACTTCACATGCCAGTGATACCCATTTGATCACTAATCAGGAAGCGTAGGCAAGATCATGAGTTACAAGTTGCTCTGGATACCTTAAAGAGGAATGGAAGAAAACCTCATTGAATTTAAAAATTCCTCCACACCAGGGCTCAGAGGCCACTTCAAGCTTCCTACCATATTGCAAATTGACTGCTGTTGTCTATAACTCATTTAAAAACCACACTCACATGTATTTCAGTGAAAATGTAAGTCTTTGACACAGTTTGTGTTCTCCATAAAGCCATTCCTTACTTATTAA